CAACAGCAGCAGCAACAATGGCAGCCAAAGCAACAATACAATAGCAACAACAACAATACCAACAAAGGGCAAACAACTTTGACGCCCTGGCTTCGGCTTCGGCTTTAGGTTTTCCTTTTGTATTTCCCGCTTCCGTTTCCGCTCTTCCCGCCTTTCCCCCGCTTATGTTAGCTTATGCTTTTGCCTTTGCCTTTCCCTTTGCATTTGCTTTGTTGCTGCTGGCGCATTAAATTCTTTTTTTTTGCCCTGTTATCGCTTAGAGAATTCATTAGCAATTGCAATGGGGGGGGTTTGGGGACATTCATTGGTAAACCTGGGCAGAAAACATTTTGCATATTGCAGGAAAAAGCAGAGAACATAAGGCGGGAAACTCACACCCACCGAAGTTGCAACTCCTTTGGTTTTTGCCGACAAACTACATCTCACAATGTTGGAAATAACCCTACATTCGTCGGCATTTTTCCTGGTAACTCTGAAAATATTTCAGGAATTTTGAAATACTTTAGCAAATAGATTTTTATTATATAGTTTTCCGTTGTGGAAAGGTTATAGGGAAATGTAAGAAAAGGAGGTATGAAAAAGCTAGGAATGTTTTTATAATTAACCTGATATATTTTTTATTTAAGTTAACTATTATATGTTCTGTACAGGCAATTCCCATAAATTAGATAACAAAATATTTAGGAATTACTTAAATTAAATAGAATAATCAAATTAAAATATCAACAACCGAAATCATTTTAATCCAACTACAAGCGAACTGTTAAATAACACCATAAACAATTTTATAACTTGGTAATCTGATTAATATAACTTTTTAAACTGTTTAAACTTAAATTTAATTAAAATGGCATTTAAAAATTGTAATCAAAGCCGCCATTATAAAGTTTAAATCCACGCAAATGCAAAATTATAATTGAAATACAATGAAGCCGTGCAAATATCATGTTGACCCAAATTAAAGTTCCTGTTAAATATACAACTTTTTCAGGTTCGAATATAAACAGGGTTAAAAATGTATTTAAATTTTATTAGCTTTACAAGAGGAAAACAACAATTTAGTAGTTAGTTTTAATGAGGAAAAAACAAAAGTTAAAAATAAGTTTGTCCAGTGCTAGCCATTTTGGCCAATTTATTTATATAGGATGCTTGTTTTTAGAGGTCTACACCCTTAAGTTGGCATTACTGTTCAAAATGGCCACCGATTTAACAGCGTTCAAGTGATTTATTTTCAATTTGGTTTGGAAATTCATCATAAGTAGACTCAAGCCTGAACAACGCACAGGAATTTAATCTGTCCATCTACTTTATGGAAGATTTTGCGGAAGGATCTTAATTTGCTTGCTTAAAAATCCAACTCTTGCAAGAATTGAAGCCAAACTATCATCAAGCAAGGCGTAGTTTCATCGAATGGGCCCAAAACGAGATTCCCATTGTTCCCGATTTTCTTAAGCAAATTTTTATTTAACGATGAAGCGCTACGTCGACAAACAAAACTGCGAAAAACAGCCACAAATGTTGGATAAAGTCATCGAAGATTGGACGGCCAGATTGGACTACATCAGAGCCAGCCGTAGCGGTCATATGCCAGAAATCATATTTAAAAGGTAATGCCACAAGATTATCTTTCAAATAAAACAAAATGTGTGTCATGTGAATAATCCATCGTTATTTTATTGAAATTTAAAGTTCTATACCTCTAAAAAAAAAAGCACCCTTTATTAATTTCAAAAATGCAATTAAATTAAAAACAAACAAGCGCAGAGCTTAGAAGTTGTTATGGCAATAAAATAATACTAATATAAAATTATTTTAATAAAAACGTGAAAACTTTTTGATATTTTAGCAACCAGAAGCATACTTAAGTAGATGAAACCAAACAAATAAACGCATTTAAAGTTAAGCTAAATTTGATGAAAAGCACTCGAATATGAAAAATTCCTTGAATTGGAAACGAGGCGAGAGTAAGGAGTCGGCCAGCACCATTGTGTGGATTATTATTTCGCCTTTTTCATTGTTTAGCATAGCAACTAAACTCGTATTTTTGGGTCTGTGCGTAGGAAAGGGGTTCAGAGGTTATGAGGGGTTCTCTACGGCACAAAAAGCACATTAAAAAGCATAAAAAAATAAACCAGCCGTTGCTGCTGCTGCTGCTGCTGCTGCTGCTGCCATATTCCACACATATTTTTTGTTTCCTAATATTTGACTTTGTTCTTTCGTTTCGACGAGAAAGTTTTATTAGGGGTACGTGTCAGGGTTGCCATGTGTATGTGCGGATGTCGAGGGGATGTTTAGGGTTATTCTGGGGTTTTCCAAAAGGGGGCACAACGAATGAACTGAAACTGTCAAAAGTGCACATTCCGCTCTTGACATTTTACCAAAGCGCAGCTTGAACTCTGGTCTTTGGTAACGAGAGGGGGAAGGTCCGGGGAGGGCTTTTGCAGGGGAGGGCGGGTTGTTAGCTAGCGGTGGAAAGTGGGAAAGTGTCGTGCCAGCGATTGGCATTGAAAGCGCAAATGAAAGGGAAGTCCCCGTTTTGAATGGCAGTGGCAGCTTGCGATGGAATCCCAGATATATCCCAATCCCAAAAGGCGGGGTGGAACGAAGACTGACGGCACGCGTTCGTCCGCCCCTGGGGGTGTCGTACCAGCCCCCTTTCCTCCAACAAAGCACGACCCTGACAAGCAGTTAAAAAAGGCTAAACGAGAACGAGGCATAAACCCAGAAATTTGCTCTCTGTACGTTTATTGCTTTTAAATTTGCCAATTGTCGAATCTGGCAATGGTAAGTGCATGTGTGTGCACTGAAAACAAAAGTTAAAAGTTCGAATTTTAACATATTGCTGTTATTTATACATAAAGTAATTTCTCATTGTTAGAGTATTTTATGTAAATAATCTATGATAGAACATTATAGGTAATAAGAGTTATTTGTTGAGCTTATCTAAGCAGCAGAACTTCACTTCTTTGTTTAACTGCTTACAAAGTAAAGTTAAATGGAATGATATCATAAATGCAAGGAATCAAAAACCATATTTGCAATAGTTCTTTACGGTCTTATGAAGACTTTAAGATAGTAAGTTATACGACAGCCCAAGTATTTGTCTTTAAACTGCATAAACAGATAACTTATTAAGACTTCGTAACTTTTTGTTTTTGGTCGTTTAGTCACCTTAACCTTTCAACGGAAGAATGACTAGCAAGATACCCAATGTTTAAAAAACAGATAAAATGTAAGGAATAAATAGCTAAACTGCATAAGCCAACTACTTTTCCCTGTGTAGCTGTCTTTCATGTCTGAGTTTAAGCCAGCCTGTGTGAGTCTACAACAAATTGCTTATCAAGCGAACGCATGTAGCAGTCAAACTGAAAAAGGGGGGTCTGGCCCGAAAAGCAGCCCTTAATTTGGCCAATTTAAAAATGGAAATCGATTCCCCCGAGAGAGATCCCGGCGATGTGTCAATAAAATGTGATTAACAAGTGGCTGCACAAAATGCCAGCACTGACTGCAATCGGATAATGGCAATCGAAATGGGAACATAATGCTCCCCCGACATTCCCTCAGGCATTTGTCGCTGCTCTTTGTCTCCCCCCGTCAGTTGTCATTTTCTTTTTTGTTATTCTCTTTTTTTGTATTTCAAATATATAGTGGGGATATACCAACAGACTGGGAGCGTGGCGAATTATCCCTTTCATAAGTGACAAATACGTCCACCCTTATCAGCCACGGCTGCTGCAAGTAATGAGATTTTATACAAAAGTAAGTGACTTCAGGCCATGGTAATTCGCAATAAATATGCACCCAGGACCACACCAAAACCAGCAGCTCAATCTATCTCGCTTTCTCTCTGTGTCAGGCGATAAGGATAAGGATACCACCACCCAAATGGCTTTTCCCAACGGAAAGTGTAATTCCATGAATGCATACCAGTGGAGATTAATCATAGCCACCAACGCAATGCCACAAGCATGAATGCTGTAATCTCTGGACTTAATTAAACTTGATGCCAGTTTTAGTGCAAACAAAGTTAATGATAGTTTGCAGCTTGAATTGGATTACATTAGGAATGTTTTAAACAATGTTTAACTACTAGTTTATGTGTAATGGGATACTTGCCCAACAGAATGCCTATTATTATCATAGCCTCATTTAACAAAGGGCTTAGTTATGGCACAAACTCTCAGTGAAAGCTTTTTGTGGAATTGGAATGACTTTAACTCATTCTATTGAAGTTTATATAACTCACATTTCAATTACTCAGCTATAATTTAATTACGTTTGGCCTGGCATTCTGGCCTATTTGGCAAACTAATGAAGAAAACTTTTGACAGTTTTGAAACGTTTCAGTCATTTCCAGCCAGCAGAGACAAGTCTATTCTAGATTAAGGATTATTTATTAAGAAAGACATTTCCATTGAAGTAGAAAACTTAATATATTTATTTTATATTTCAGGAAGCTATAAAAATACATTTAAATAGCTTATTTAAGACACTTGACAAAATTCAAGGGCTATAGATTGCTGGCTAACAATTGTCAAGGTATCTTAACTTTATTTTCAATGGAAAATTTTGATAAGTAGCCCTCGATTCCAGTTAGGAACCAATATCTATTCTACCTAAATCTAGCACTGAGATTTTTGTCCGATTTTTAAGACCAATTTAGAGGGCTTAACTTCTGGTGATAACCAAACCGAATCTTTTCCAGGAAGTTTGGCAAGAAATTTTCGGAGAGCCGCCTTGTTTTTGCACAACGGCTGGCGTGAGTCAGGTAATCTTATCGCCGCCCCTTGATTGCCAGGGGGTTTCTTATACCCTGATTTCATTTCGCACTATTTGGCCTTTTTTTGCGCCAGACTCTCGCCCTCATGCCCACTTCATCGGCCCAGATAAGCTCGCCCTGTAACAGAAGTTAATTAAAAGCGAAGCGCTTTTGTAAACATTGTCTTACTCATTGGCTGTGGAGGCGTCTGTGGCGGTATAAAAGGCCTCGCGTTTTTAACAGCTGATATCAAACGATCCAAGAACGTTAAACAAAAACCAAGTGCCAACATGCGTATTCTGCTCGTCCTCTCTATTGTTCTGGCCGTGATTCTCGGCTGCAGTGCCTACAGTGCCACCTGGGGCCGAAGGAACAACAATGATTACCTGCTGTCCCGCACCACAGAGGCCCGTAATCCAGTCAAGAACAACTACTGGAATTTGAATGTCAACTATCCAGCTGGATTCTATAACATCTCGGCCGTGATCGTCTACGACAACTTCAAGAACAACTCCGGCGCCAGCCCTAGCCTGTACTCCGGCGGTCCGGGTTATCGCTTTGCCACTGTTAACCTCCGAGGACAGGTCAGCCGCGGAATTAACTCCACCGTCGAGGTCTGGGGACGTTAAGTGATCATTAGAATCTGTTATGACTAAATAAAAACTATGGAATATTAACTGAAAGTGTAAACAAATATCTTTTTATTATGTTGGCAAAAAATGACACAGCTAGAAAGTATATAATTCAAAAGTAAATATGATTCGCTTATCAAAAACCTAGATAGCAAATTTATAGTATTTATTATCACAAAAAAGTTGTTGCTAAAACGTGAAAAAAGTGATGTTTATCTAGTTAATTAAAAGGTCTAAACCCGAAAGATTCCACAATCAAAAAGGTAAACAGAGAAACATGTTATTGGTTTTAATATTTTCCTGCTTCAAAGTGAAAATCCCAAAAAAGTGTACGAGTATCATCAGCAAATATTAGTTTGAGTATCTTTATCTTTATCTTTATCATTGTGTGCTGTCAATAGGAATAGCATATTGATGTATCTATCTCTGCCGGACTTTGCATAATCGTGTATTAGCTTTGGGCGAATGCCCGAAAAAACTCCCCAGCAAGTTTAGAATTTTCCCTCGGCCTTTCCTCATATTATGGAAGGCACAAAAGGATGAAAGTCGCCCGCCTGAGGAAAAGGGGAAACTTTTCCTTTTTGCCAGCCAGAGGCGTAACCATCTAGCAAAGGAAAACATTCAATATTTAATAAATATCAGTCAGTGTGTGTGTGTGTGTGTGTGAGTGAGTTGTGCCGTCTGAGAGGTGGGCAAAAGTAACTCGAAATTAAGGCTGGGGATAGGACTATTGGCCACAAATCCTGTGAAGCCCAGACAGACTGTTAAAAGGGCTAGAGGGCTAAAACCAGAAAAAAATGGAAAAGAAAGGAACAAAAAATAACTCGGATCCACCGAGGGGGAGACAGACTTATTGGCCTTGGCTCATTTGATTCCAAGGGGATGGTGTAAAATTTGTATTTCAAATTGCCAAAAGCAGCCCCAAAAAAAGAAACGAAGCTGATATGTTAAGCTGCACGGTCAAAAGGATGTGTCGGAGTCCCTTTTTTTTTTTTTTGGTTTCTTTTTTCCTATTTCCTTAGTTTATGTATCGAATTTAAATTTCAATTTTAAACGTCTTGAGGCTACGGATCCGGATAGCATCCCTATTCCTATCCATATCCCGGCTATCCAATGGCGTGGCGGTAAATATTTGCACAGGGCGCACGAATGTTTGAAAAGTTGTCAACGAAAATGTTTCACTTAGTTAATATGCAAAGCGCGGCCGTTCGGCTGCGATGCAAAGCCCCGGATCCGGATATGTTTACGGATACACGGCCACGGCTACGGATACAGCCGGAGGTTGTGATTCCTCCCCGCCAAAGGGAAAGTCGTTCGATAAAAAATTTGCCCCCAAAAAGTCACGTAACTGCAGTGCAGAAGCAACGACAGCGGGAAAAGAACAAAAAAAAAATAGAAAAGAGAAATCAGTAGCAGGAGGTGGTGCATCCGAATTCGATTTGCTCTGGTGTTCCATAGTACACCCCCGCCCACTGCTTACTGTCCTAACTTTAAGAACTGGCAAATGCGACTGCCGAATTTCGCTTCCGTTCGTATTCACTTGACATTCCTCATACGCCGCATGGCCGCCACAACGAAATGCCTATCGTAAGCCGCTTGCCGGCTAAGCTGACCACTACACCAGTGTCCCCGGGTAACCAGACTGCCACACACACTCATCCAGGATCCACCATCCTGCCACTCCCACATCTGCTTCTCCCTTGTCAGCGGCAACAGCTTGCCGAGCAATTACTTCGGACTGGCCGGAAATTTCGCCCGAAAACCAGCAGCGACAGCAGTGGCAGCTGCTTGGAGCAGGTCCTGCTGAAACACCACCACCTTTATCGCCCCCACGCATTCACCGACAACATTTTGGGGGTGTGGCATATGTCTGGCGCTGTAAGGACAACCGCCGGCATCTGCTTACACTGGCCTCTGTGGCTCCTGGACATCGAAAATACCCGCCTCAAATGGGATTTCAATTAGCAGCAACTGTCTCACACCAGCCAACGCTCGTGTTGTCCAGTGTTGCGGCGCACCCTGCAACGTTTACGGGACAGGACCAGCATGTGCACCGATAAAAATGCAATCGAAATGTAGTTTTTTAAAATTATTTTTTAAATTAAAATGAAGTTTATGGTTTACTTTTGAAAAATAAGAAATATTTGCAATTCAAAAAGGTTTTCTATCTTGTTAATTTTCAATAAGTTATTAATTTTAATTGTTATTTATTTTTTTCAGTGTAATGGTGGTAGGAGGTGGTGACCTACGGACATGACATAGAAGGGTGTCGGACATGCTGTTAGGGCTGCTGAAATTGCTGATTTGCTGTTGCTGGCATTATCGGCGTCCCCTGCGTTTACTTTGCTCGTTGGCCAGCAGCAGCATTGATTTTTAATAAATAGCAATTTGGCAAACCAATCTGAGTTGTGATTATTTTAGCTGGCAGGTGGAAAAAGCATTTCAAATGTGCAGCGGACAAGGCCAAAAGCTGCAGCTAATGTGCATCCCACGCCCATACACACACCGCCCTACGAAAAAGGTAATGAAGTATTTATGATCGGGCTGATTGCATGTGGTGATGATGGTGGTGTAGGTGGTAGTAGTCGTGTTAGCTGGGCTTTCTGGGCAGGTGAGGTGTCACCTCGGCACCTGAATTCACATTTTGACAGGCGCTCCTGGGGATTTGTGGCATAACAAATTTTGAGCGGCTAAATTGTAAAATACCACCACACACACACACATCACAGAGCCAACTGGAGCAGCAGGCAATCAATATTGATGATGGTCAAATCAAAAGGCTGCCCGGCTCTCGCCTATCCAATATGATTTTCACAGTTTTGGAAAGGAAAAGGTTTAACTTTTCAAGGATGAATCTATAAGGCTAATTCTTTGTAATATACGGCATTTAGTAAGTAAATCTTATTATAAAATATTCCGTCCTTAATTTTTAAGAAACTTAAATACTCATTTAAAACAATTTTTTTGTCTTTTACATTTAGCTTTCAAATCTGCGGAATTTTATGTAAATTATGTAACATACACAATATTCTTTAAAAATTTAAAATTAATAGTTTTAAATTATTGAATTTCAAAAAAGAAATAAATAAAAATGAAATCAAATTTCCATTTTTTAATAAAAAAAAATAAGAAATGTAACCACTTAAGCCCTTAAAAATTGCATAGTTTTGGGAGGAGGTAGAATCACATTTAAATCGAATCTGAATAGTATGCTATGAATTGTTGATCGCCTATAGGTGTCGCATTAAATGCACAAGTCCCTGTTAGCTAAGATTCGAACCCATTGGGAAATTTCAACCGCTTTAAGCAAATAAACTGCTTTCGTGGGTTGGAGTCTTGAATGTGTATTATACATTTATATTTTACATGTAAATATTTTAGGGATACATGCACTTAAGTTACTCAACTGCTTTGCACTGCTTGCCAAAGCAATACAGTTCGAATTTTGGCGCCAATATTCTAAATCTGCAAATAATTAGAATAACATTTAAAAATTAAATAAGAGAAAATGGTTTCATTAAATGTTGGTAATTGTAAAACACTAATAATACCAATATTAAAGAATAATGAAGTTATCAAATTTTTATATTATAAAAAATAATAAAATTTAATAAAGCTTAAAGTAATAATATCAAATTTCATTCTTTCAATGTATTATACAATATTTTAAGATTTTAATATTAGCATCGCTAAAATATTCAGACTCTGCACATTAACAATAGCAGCCTTTCCAATTTGAGCTCAAGATGATATTCCACAGATACTTTTCCCTACAGTGCTTGCCGAAGTAAGTACTTCACCCAATGCTTCTTTCACTTGCCGTCGAACAACCCCGAAAATGCCGCGAGTTGTATTATACATACACACACGCAGCGTTAGACCGTTTTTCCCTTTGTTTTGACTGCTCTTTGCTCACTTTGTTTGAAAAGATATCTTTCCATATGGCTGAGTTTGAATGGAAGATTGTTGGTTCGGTTTCGTTTCGTTTTCTTCTCTGTCGCAAATGAATAATGAAGGGAAGACGTGTCGGTTTCTGTTTTGGCCTTGAATGTCTGAAAGACATACTTGGTAACCAGGCCGGGCTTTAATCATTTTTCAGGTTTTGCAAACACAACTGTACTTGTATTGGTGCAAAATAACTGATAACTGATCTCTCGTTTGGCTTTTCAATCATTTAATCATTTTCCTGTCTCTCGGTACTAATGTATTGTTTGGTAATTTCCTGGTTTTTCGCCTCAACCACCCGTTTAGCCCATCAATCAATATTCCATTTATGCTGGCCCGAAAAGTCGCCCCCATAAAAAGGCAAAAACAACCACCCACCACCCAAACTCGGAAAACGCCCAAAACGAGTACGATTCTCTAAATCGAATCGAAATCATAAGCCAATCATTGGCACTAAGTGTTCGCGTCAGCAATCGGCAGCCAATAAATGCTCCTTGCTCTTCGGCTAACTTCGGCTCTGCTCTCTTTCGGCCAATACCTTGCAAGCCTCGCGTAACGCCCTTTAAATCCGACCAATGCCATTGCTTCGCTTCTTCGATTTCGCCGCACGTGCTCTTCTCTTCGGTTCGTCATCGGAACCGGTTTTCGCCTGGTTTCCACTTTTGGTGGTTGTTTTGCTCTCTCTCTCTCCTCTCTATCGGGCCTTGACTCGCCTTCGTTCCCTTCCTTCATTTTTCCGAGGCCAAAAACTGTGTGCGTGGTGTGCCTGTACTTTCTGAACTGACATCCATTTTGAACGGCAAAATGCTAAATGAAAAATTTTTAGGGGCTCTTTTAATTAATTTTACCATTAATAAACTAAATAAAATTGCATTTTATATATGTATTGGTAGTATAACAGAATAATTTGTAAAAACAAAACAAATAGGCTACGCCCTTTATTAGTAATTTTACCTAAATTTTCTTCACACTTCACTAGTTAATGTATTTTTGACATTTGACGTAAGTCTAAGTTGAATATATTTATTGAAATATTGGAAACTGGTTCTGTCTTACAAGGAAATTATATGTTTTAGCTGAAGCTCAACACTAAGTGAGGTAAACAT